GCCACAGGGGGACCTGGAACGTGCCCCGTGCCTGGCTCTGGGGCCACCTGCTCATCTATGGGGTCAGCTGCTCATCTGTGGGGCCACCTGCTCATCTATGGGGCCACCTGCTCATCTGTGGGGTCACCTGCTCATCTATGGGGCCACCTGCTCATCTGTGGGGCCACCTGCTCATCTATGGGGCCACCTGCTCATCTGTGGGGCCACCTGCTCATCTATGGGGCCACCTGCTCATCTGTGGGGTCACCTGCTCATCTATGGGGTCAGCTGGTCATCTGCGGGCTCAGTTGCTCATCTATGGGGTCACCTGCTCATCTATGGGGCCACCTGCTCATCTGTGGGGTCACCTGCTCATCTATGGGGTCAGCTGGTCATCTATGGGGTCATCTGCTCATCTGTGGGGCCACCTGCTCATCTATGGGGTCAGCTGCTCATCTGTGGGGCCACCTGCTCATCTATGGGGTCACCTGGTCATCTATGGGGTCAGCTGCTCATCTACAGGGTCAGCTGGTCATCTATGGGGCCACCTGCTCATCTATGGGGTCACCTGGTCATCTATGGGGCCACCTGCTCATCTATGGGGTCAGTTGGTCATCTATGGGTCAGTTGGTCATCTATGGGGTCAGTTGCTCATCTATGGGGCCACCTGCTCATCTATGGGGCCACCTGCTCATCTGTGGGGTCATCTGTTCATCTATGGGGCCACCTACTCATCTATGGGGCCACCTGCTCATCTATAGGGTCAGCTGCTCATCTATGGGGCCACCTGTTCATCTACGGGGCCATCTACGGGGCCACCTATGGGGAGACCCCGGTTTGGGGTCACCTGAGGTGACGATTTGCTGCCCTAAAGGGTCTCTGAGAATGTCCGTGTGTCCTGGGAGGTCGCTGTGGGGTCGTCTGGAACGTCACCGTGGTGTTCTATAGGGTCACCTGACCCATCATCCCGTCCTTGCTATAGGGCCACCAATGTCCCCTTGCCCTTGCTGTAGGGTCACCCAGAACATCACCCCATCTACACTGTAGGGTCACCAACGTCCCCTTGCCCTTCTCCTGGGCCACCAGTGTCCCCTCATCCTCACTGGGGTCCCCTAAACCATCACCCCGTCCTTGGTGTAGGGCCACCAGTGTCCCCTCATCCCCACTGTGGGGTCCCCTAAACCATCACCCCGTCCTTGCTATGGGGCCACCAATGTCCCCTCATCCTCACTGGGGTCCCCTAAACCACGACCCCGTCCTTGCTATGGGGCCACCAGTGTCCCCTCCTCCCCACTGT